TATATATATATATATACATGTACAACTAGTGACAGAAAGGTTGTAACTCTTTTTTTTATGGGTTTCGGAATGCAACCTACTCATCGATTGGTTCTTATTTGGATTCAATAAGAATAAATCGCTCGGTGAATTACAGATGACAGAGAAATGCTCGACTGTAATTGGTTGGTTCTGATCACATTCTGATCCGGTTTAAATTCTCGGTGGAAACTAGTTATTTCGGTGGAAGCCAATGTTATCAACATAAATTTGGCTATTAATGTTTTTAAATTATAAACTATATTAATTATGACGACATGTAAATGAAGATATAAATATAATAGAAAACGCCAAAGAACGATCAAAGATTTTAGAAATTTCAAATAATATATATTCTTTGTTGAATCGAAATATTTAAGGGTATCCTAAAATCTTCTGTTTTATCACGTAATTTTTATATAAGAAATATTTTTTTTCTCTTTTATCAATTCTCTCTCTCTCTCTCTCTCTCTCTCTCTCTCGATAATCCTTTTCTAAGATTAAAGTATACGCATTAATACGTGTCTGGAAAGTGAAGTCTATGTCGAGATCAAAAATTTCAAAATTGATATATTTTTTACCATTTCTTAATGTAACATGACATCTCAGCTGTCAAGTTATGACAACATTTGCTTGATATAAAAGCTTTGCAACCTGTACGAAATAATAGTTTCTAGAATTTTTAACGGAATTGGACGCATTCTCGTTGCACACTAGTGCATATTAAAGTCGTCATACAAAAAATAACGTAAAGATAGTTTATACATAGATATAGAGATTGGATTAAATCCTGAAATACTCTATACATTTTATTGTACTATTACATAAAATATGTATTTTATAATCTGAAATATTTGCATTTCACTTTTATATTCAAATTGGTACTTTATTTTTGTATAAAGATCTTTTTAAATAAGATTTTTTTTTTTTAATCGAAGAGATTGGATTAATTTTATAAAGTTTTCATTTATTTGAAATATTTATAAAAATTGAATTTATGATAATATAAGAACTTTATATGATAAAATTACAAAAAATATATTATATTAAAAAAGTTTGAAAATATTTTCCAAAAAATTTAATAAAACGTTGCTACTTTTTTTTTAATACGTTACTATATTTTTAAATGTTCATCTGATACAAAGTTAGAAGATTTTACGGCAGTAGTGTTTCAAGAGAACAATTAATAAATTTAATCTGTAGGAACTCGCGCCGCGAGATAACAATAATTTCGGCAACGCTTTTTGAAGATCACAAAAGAAAGTCCTTATGCGGATGATTTGCAACGTGAAACTAATCTGAAGAACGTTGACAGATCTTACTGTTGTCCGAGTCCTGGTGTGTTTTTCATAAAAATAGTGCTGATAAGGATCTAAATCCTGTCTCAGGTCCACTGCCGCGAATTTCAGCGAATGCCGAATGAACCGTATATAGTCTTTTCTAGTCGAAATCGTGTATGCGAAGCAATAAATTTTATTATTTTTAATGACCGAACGATTTCGAAAAGCGAAAGAATAATATTGTAATGTGAGCATACAATAATATTTATAGTAATAACGGGCATCGAACTTGCTGCAAACTTGATAATCTACACTATAGAAAGAACAATTTTGTTGAAGTTTTACCATAAAATTTGCATATTAAGAAGATCCTCGCATTTGATGAAACATAAGACTATAATATACATGTAATACAAATGTTAATAATATTTAGAAAAAAATTCAAATTTTGATTTTTACCGTACCATTTTGAAAATATTTAATTCTAAATTTATAAAATTTACATTACAAGTTAGAGATATAATCTGTAATTATTCTCTTTTAAATTGAGACACTTACGTATAAGACAACAATTTAAAAATCGTTAAAATTATAAAGTAAACACTTAAGTTTGTTCTAAAGTTTCATTTAAACTGACCGTATAGTTTACAAGGAATTTAAATTCTTTAATGAAAAAAGCTAGAATTTATATCAAATAGATGATGCGTATAAGCATCTTACAACTTTTATTTTGTCATTTTGAAAATATTTAGTAACATATAAAATTAACAATAATTATGTATAATGACATAAGATATTGTTAGTAATTTTTTTATTCCATTATTTTAATTATTTTACATATTATTACTATACTGTCTATTGATTAGGAAGTAGTACGAACCTCCTTAAATTGATATCCTCCTTGAATAGATAGAATTCATTATTACTTGTTTTTTCGTGATTTTTTTTTATTCACAGCAAAAATAATTGTCAGTATGAAATGCTTTTTATAGCTCACAAAGATTACATAATAGTGATCTATATACTCGTATACTTATATATTTGTATTCTTTTTGCATTTTGTAAAAATATTTTGTATAAGATTGACAAGTATAATATTGAAAATTAAATAGCGCACCAAAAAAACTATTTTACTGAAGTATTTAAAAATTCAACTAGATATAGGTATGTAGATTTCAAAATAATTTTGTACTATTAAAATAATTACGTAAGAGAGCACTCTAATTGCTAGAATGTTAAAATTTTTTGTGATAGTGTTATCAAAGCTTGAGCGTTCTACATAATTATTTTGAATGTAACATAATTATTTTTAATGTAACAAAATTATTTTCAGATCTGAAATTTTTCAACACTTCAGCAAAATTCTTCTTTCTATGCACATGCATAGCACGAGTTGTCTAATATTTGAAATCTGAAATGTGTTCTTAAAATGTGTGAAAATAGTTTCAAAATCAGATATGTATATAAATATATAAGCACTCACATCCACTTTGACTGAACATACGATTTTTTTCTCGTTTAATTTTTAATTACATTTATTCTCATTGTTCAAAATTTGTATGGTATCATATATTTACTAAAAATAATTTTGTTGGATCATCAAAATAATTGCGTAGAAAACTCAAGCAATAATAATAATATTACAAAAAGTTTAACACCAATAACCAATTTGATCGTTCTACATAATTATTTTGACAATCCACAATAAAATTTATTTTCAAATTTATGTGTAGCTAAATTTTTAGATATTTTAGCGGAACCGTTCTGTCCGTATAATATGTG